CCCTTCTCCCACACACATGCAAAATTAGCCGTACGTAAATCTTTTCTTTTAAATTTTATAAAGTCTTTTACGTCGCGTCACGTGACATTAGATTTATCGAGTGTAAACAGTATAGTTCACACAGTTTTTGTCGCATTTGGATCCATAGAGCGGGCTATAAATTCAGAGAAATGGCGAAACCCACTTATCTTGATTGTATCAATGGAGCGTGTGCTGCGGCGACACGCACACGCACGCACGCACATTTTTTTATCCGGCGGAAAATGAATATTTAATGCGACTACATCACCCTAATCAAGAGTCGTACGTATGCGTCACACTTCAAAATTATACTCGTGCAGTTGCCGTTGTCGTCTCTGACAATGCATTCGAGTTTACAGATTCCAAAGTACAATTTATGCAATTATGTATCTGTTCTACGAACGCATGAACACTCACACGCGAAAAGCAGCAAGCGAAGAAACGCAAAAAGAAAGAAGCACCAGCGCATGTAAAACCCATAAAATTAGCGATAATTAACAACAAAAATCCTTTTTACCCACAGAGAGAGAGAAAGAGAGAGAGAGAGAGAGAGAGAGAGAGAGAGAGAGAGAGAGAGAGAGAGAGAGAGAGAGAGAGAGAGAGAGAGAGAGAGAGAGAGAGAGAGAGAGAGAGAGAGAGAGAGAGAGAGAGAGAGAGAGAGAAGCAAGCCTCATGGGGTTCGTGCGCTCGTGGATTAGCGCCTGCGGTGCGCCTCACACAGCCAAGATAAATTATGCACTTGATTAATGGAGCGAGTTTGCGCGCGGACTTTCTTCACTGACGCGTCACTTGCACTTCGTCAATCCAAAATCTTTGCGCTTTTGGCATTCGTCCCTAAATGGCTTCGGTATTTGCCATAATTTTTTTCGTTTGTGTTTACGTTGAGTTAATCGAGGCCTTCGAATGATATTGAGGTTGAAGATTAACTTTTTAATAAACTCATCGGAGCACGCGGAGACTGTGTTATTGACGGACATAATGCTTATCGTGAGCACAAAACGCGTTTCCAAAGAAACAAAGGTTGCATCCTTGAAGTACCTGATTTCCTCGGCAAGTCGTGTCAGTACTTGGCAAGATTGGCAATCCGAATGTTTGTGGAGTCCACTATGGACAGACGAGAACCACGGCTAGTCACTTCGTCGACTCATGATATTTCCAAACGCACAGTGACATATGGATAAGTCGATGAAGCTTAGCTGAACTGGTCCGTAAATGCCTTAAATCTCACGTCGCGCTAGAAATTACAAGTTTAATTGCGCCACCGAAAATACGGTTAAGCTCGGCAAATCGAAAGTTTTATCATGGCGGTCGCGCCGCGCCTCGAACTTCCGCGAAAAGTGCAATGAAAAAACGCGCGGGCGCCGGGACAGCGGCAGCTTATACGCCAAAACGCCATGCCTGACATCGGAAAGAGTCGACGTTGTAAACACACGAGTGCATTACAGACAAATCTACATGGAATCTGACCTGATCCCCGTGCCGCGACCGTAAATTCCTCGTCCCATTTGCATAAGCGCGCATTTCACGTCGGCTAAACGCTCCGCGATCAGCGCAAAAATGCGCACAATTGCCGAGAGCCATTATATGCCGGCGCGCGCGCTGCTACGTGATAACGTATACGAGTGGCGTGGCGCAGGCCGCGCACTCTTTTTAATGGGCTGACGCCGCCAACGAAATACTGCAATTGCCGCTCTACCACTCGCTTTTTCTGTTCTTATCCGCGCCGAGAGGCCTTTTCCTCTTGCGCGCGTTTGGCTGCTGGATTTGTCAGCTTGTGATTTCTTTTGCTTTTATTCTTGATTTTATGTCGCGACTCCTTCGAGTGTCTACGTGTTTGCATAATTGTTTCACAACGGTCAATGGTAATCGATTGGATAAATGTGAAGAGCTTTTAAGCATTCTCAACGGTATTTGAAAACGCGACGTTTTGCTGGACTTTTATTTTCAGTTTCAATCTGTGCACGTCGCAAATCAAAATAGAACATAAAAAAATTAGATTGCATAAATAGAACGTCACAATGAATATTCCGTCTGACGAATTGTTGTATCGTATTACTTAAATCGGTGGGAATGTGGCACACTTTCGCCAAACATTAAATTACCAAGTATTTATGCAGATTGCCACATAAATTTACGTTCGAATCAATTCAATTTTGAAATCAGTCGCGCACTCGCGAAAAAGGGAGTGCATTTTTTTCTCGTGTGGCGATTGTCGAAACGCGCACGTATGTTTGCTCGTCGCAAATTCATTAAAAGCCATCCCTCTCTTTCCGCGCCAAAATTGCTTTCGATCGCGAACGCCAAATCAAACGATCGTCGATCCGGCAGCAGCAATCGCGGTCGTCTGCGCGAACTTTTGATCGATAACGCGTCCGAGAAAGAGGTCGGTATAACTGTGGGCCGAAGCCGCGCGATAACTCACAAGTATGTTCGCAGTCGAAAAAACCGGGCCAAACACTCTACTCCCTGGAAACTTCGTGTCCTCGATTTCTCTCTCTCGCTCTCTCTCTCTCGCTTTCTCTTACTGTCTATTTTTCTCCCGAAACTGAAATAATCGCGCTGCAATTTGTCGCACGACTCTTTTTATATATATCGAAAAGTTCGTTAAACGAGTTATCGCGGGTTTTGTAACTCGTGTTTATTTCTTGCGGGCAACGGTCGTTTATAATTCACGCTGGGTTGGAAACGAGTGGCTGCCACACACCGACGAGCGAGGTTTTCCGATAATTATACGACAATCGCAATGCCGCACAGCTTTGTTTAGCGATATTGCTTGTTCTCTCTCTCTCGCTCTCTCTTTCTAGCTCTCTTACTCTCTCTGCGGCTTGATTTAATTTGGCTGCACTTTTTTTCTGTCCAGTAACCTCTTGATTATGGCATTGATAAATGTACCCGCGCTTTCATTGATTAATTTATTATTGAGTTTGATATGCTAGTTTAAGGTGTAATTTCATAAAATCAGTGACCGCTGCGCAAACTGCCATTGAGTATACAAAAGCAGCTGTGCTCTCGTGTTGTGAATCATTTGAATATTCAATATAGAAGATGCGAGAGTACAATGCAAATCAATCTGTACGAATATTAATCCGGTGGAATGAAGGCTTGTCAAGAGTGCACGAGAAAAATTTTAAATTCATGATGCACGTAATCTCGGCAATCTCGTACTCGTGGATATTTGATGACCGATCGTGAATATGACTGAACTGATCGAGCGACAAATGCTTGATCCCTCAGGCGAAAAACCATCGAAACCCAGGCACGCCTTGAGATCGCTCATCATTTACACCCAAAAGCTAATCCCCCGCTCTTCGACGTCGAGCAAAACTCTACAGGCGGAATTTTTAATTAACGTACGAGTAGTGGTTAATCGCAAGCGCTTGATTAGCCGCGTGCGCGGAGGGAGGTTAGTTTCGGTCTCTTCCTCTCTCTCTCTCTCTCTCTCTCGTGTTGGCGATCGTTATATCCGGATTACGCGCGCTCGCGGGAGCTTGCACGAAAATCACGCGCTCCCCCCGACTCGCGCGTATACGCGTATTATCGTGATATCCCCGCAGCGTGTAAGTAGATTAGCGGCCGAAACGCGCCAAGTTTTCAGGGAAGACATAGCCTCGATGAGTTTTTAAGTGGGTTTCCCCGGGAACGAGATCGTACTCGGGCTAAAACTAGGCTCGCGTATCGATGTGCAGCTCGAGGATCTTGAGGACGGTGATGATGCCGCGGCCGATGTTTACGATATCCCGGCTGACTTTTATTTTCCGTATTGGCTTTGTTGCGCTTTCCCAGCCATATCCAATATTTACTAAATGCGTTGTTTGTGCGCACAGATATTTTTGGGATTCCAATAGAGGGCGACGTAAAAAGAATTTTTTAAACTCGATAAACGTAGTAAAAAAAGGGTGAATCGCACAAAGGACGGAGAATTTCCTCCGAAGGCACATAACAAAAACATCACTCCACTGGTACTTGCACTACCTTTAATTATGTTCCTTTGTTAATAAATCAAAATATTAAAATTTAACTGACAAGCCTTTCAGTTTGTAAAGAATAAGTATTGAAAAAATGGTCTAAAATAAAAAAAAGAAATAAAATAACGAAAAGCGTTCGTCAGAGTATGAAATTGAGATTATATCGCAATAAAAAAATCGCCAGTTCGAAATTCGCATGATAAAGTCCGCGTCCCGACGACGATTATTCGTCGAAGCGCGAAAACTAATTTCGAACTTTCATAAAATCCCGCGCGTGACGTCGCACGGCAGGTGTATCCTTTTAATGATAAAAAAAACCTCTTAAAAAATATAAAACCATGGGGATAAGTGGGGCAAGCAAGGGCGCGGGAGAATTAGAAGTGCGCGCTGGCGAGCATAACGAATATGAAGGGAGCGTCAGCGTGGAACTGCCGGCCAACTTTCGCGGGAAAGTTTGTTCTGCATATTTGAGGCGGATAAAACGGGCTACAATTCCGAACCGATTTCGTCATCTTGCCCGTATAATCATCCACCTGTCGTGCGCCACGTCTGACTCGCTCATTCTCTCTCTTTCTCCTGGTTTCGCTTCATCCAGACTCGGCGGCCCGAGTTTATACCGTGGGCGGTCATTTGTTTGACGATTATTCGTTTCTCGCTTAATGAGAATATCCTTGCGGCTTGCAGCATCGCAGTGCGAAATGAATATTTGCTTAGCCAGCGCCAGCAGTAGGAATTGCAGCTGCTTTGCCGTAATTAATTCTGACTGGTGCGTTACTGATATGGCTCGTCAAAGACCTTCAGCCGTTGTATTTCCGTCAGCCGTCAATCCAGTGCGACGTCAACGAATCGAACGGAATGTGAAAAGTGATGCTCGTATATCCCTCGAATACTCCGAAGCGAAACTCGTAAAGACGAGATAATATCTTTAGCGCGCCTATAAACGCAGACGCGCCGTCAAAGTCAAAGATTCCAGACTGATCCTTTTTCTTCCTCTTCTTTATCGCGATGTTGCAGCAACAGTGAAGCAGCAGCGCAAAGGTGGCCACAACTGTGCTCTTCGTCTTGGGCTGGTACTGCTGGTCTGTGCCTTAATCGCCGGTATCGGATTGCCTTTGGCCCTGGAGTTACGCAGCTCGAATCTGCTCGAGGCAAGGCTACGTGTCGTCAGGAAAATCCTCTCGAAAACTCCCCTCATCGATGGGTAAGATTTCTCCTTTTTTCTCCTTCCATCCCCTTGATCTACTTTACAGACCCGGAGATAAGGGTTTTTCTTTTTTATTTTTTGCTTTGAAAAGGAAACGCGAAGTCCAAAGAGACGCTCATCCTCCAAGTGTTTTATTGTGTTGCGAGTGTCAACGGCGAGATTATGAGGGCAAACTTTTTGTTTACTTCGAGGCTCAGATTGTACTTTCTTAAGTGCTTTACGTTAACATCCTTCTGAATTAGAAAGTTAAGCTTGTTCAGATAAGTAGTTTCTTTTCGTAACAATATCTTTTCCTCTGTCTTTGTCATCTCCCTCTTTGTTTAACGTCCTTCTTGATGGCCACTGATTAACGGTTGCTAATTAAACTTTTTTAGTATCTCGTATTTCATTCGAATCAGCGATAAAAGTACGGAAAGCGTAGCAAATCTCATGTTTATGTGACACTACTAGCTTAATTAATGTGCTATGTATTGCTACGACGAACGACGTGTAAATCTTCGGCTAATTATCACTATCATATAATTTAGAAATTACGGGACCTATTCTTGCCTTCTCGCTCAACATTTTCTGGATTTTATCATTCTATCCTCGTATCAAATAGTACTGGAGCAGAAAAATCAATTTCCTGTGTTCGACCAGCCCGAAAAAAGAAGCTTAAGCTTATTCTCCAACTTCGAGCGTTTTCTTTCTATCGAAATGGCCTGTGTCTACGATTACATTCTCGAGCCTCTCAAATTGATTCCTGACCATTCAATTTTTCCCGAATATCCGCGCGTCCGCGTGCATTTGAAATTCTCCTGTGATGTGTTAATTTCGCGAAAAGCCAAATTCTCGCGATATTTCAATTGGCAGATAGTAGCGTTCCGAAAGTCTTTTTGACCCTGGCACACCTTTCCTCAGCGCGCGTGGCACGCGCTAATCGTAACGAGCGAACTCCGCTGGCGTACAATCGCCAAGTGTAATTTCATTACGAAACTCGCGAGAGATGAAAGTTAAAATTCACGGGAGCTTGAATTTCTACCGTACATAATGAAATTAATGGCTTTTAAATGCGCACGCGCGCGACGACGCCGACGACGAAACTAACGGAATGAATTTTGCACGAATGGCCGAGAGCTTTTGGCAATTAACAAAAATATAACAACGCCCATGTAAATATATATGTTTGACGGCGATAAAATTCGAATTTATCGCTTGCGTGCCGACCTTGTTCTTCTGTTTTTACGAGGTTGGAGAACGTTTATCGTTGTTTTTTTTTTTTTTTCATTTAATGAAAATCATGAAATTTCAACGAACCTTTTTTCTAGTAATTCCTCTCTTTATTTCGACAGCAAAGCTACGTGTCGTTTAGCCGAAAGTTCCATTAAAAAATGACGCCGAGTGGACGTTTATTCGATGCATTTACGAAATGCAGAATAAATTAATGGCAATTCTCAAAAAGGGAATTTGCTCGGCTGACTAATTGTTGATATAATCTACTCGTACTGTGCCATAACGTTCGACATTATGCTTATTAAAACGCTACTTGTACTTTCCCGGTCTGACAAATTGCCTGGCATAATCCACTTACAGCTACTCCCCCGCGTCATGCAAAATTACGATTATTAAAACGCCCAGTACATTACGAGTAGATCGTATCAGCGCGCAGTCAGACACGGTTACGACTCAGCGTGCGAATTAAAAAAAAGTGCAGTAGTCGGCATGACTTTCCAGAAAGGAAAAAAAGAGCGGTTTGGCGAGAGAAGAGGATATCCTTCAGAAGCAGGTTCACCTACAGACGTAGAGATATAGCTGGCTCTCGCGTTTCATCGATGGCACGGTATTTTACGGGTTTTTCCTTAAAACCTCGAATTTCAACGTTCGGTATATCAAACTCGCTTTATTTATCGTTTTTATTTACGACTCTCTGTCTCGAGTTTTCGGTATTGAATTAAAATCGGCGATCGATCGATCGAACACGTAAATAACTTTGGCGCGGGGGAGAGGTGGTAGTTCTCCCGCCGGAAATTTCAGTCTCGCGCTAGCATCGACTGCGAGCGCTCTTGCCCCGGTTAACTTGCTCAACTTGGCGCAGCGATAGCCCCCGAAACGCACGTGTGCGCCCCCGGGGAATTGTCGACTTCGACGTTTTCAAATAAGAGTGTTCCGCGCGCCGGCAGCTGATGTTATTTCTATGGAGATTTCGGATTTGCGTTTTTTCTTCCGCCTTCCGCTCATTGAACTGTTGAACGACGACTCCGCGCGTACACGGGCGAGCGTCGTTCAACGCTCTTCGAGAGAACAAGTTTGATATTGATGCACACGAGTTACGGAAGGATATCGAGAGCTCTCACTTTGGTCCCGATCTCGCCTTCTTTGCTGCTGAATCTTCGAGAATTGCCGAGAAATGGCGGCGCGCGACGACACCAAACGAGTACATTTCAGTTTCACAATCGAACACCAAGTTCTGCACCTGGACTCGAGAATGAAATTTCAGGCAGTCTCCTTTGGGCGATAAAAAAAACCTCACGCACGCGACGTTCTCTATCTGCAGATCCAACAATTTCGCCTGGAATCTTCGAAAGCAGCGGGGCAGCACGCGACTGCGCGACTTTCCGTTCGACGAGGATCTGTCGCAGAACGCGTCGTGGGGCCCAAGTTGGCAAACCGACCTCATACGTCTGCGACGCGGCATAGTGGGCGCACAATTCTGGTCGGCTTACGTGCCTTGCGAGGCACAGTTCCTCGACGCGGTGAAGCTCACCCTGGAACAGATCGACGTGGTGAGGCGGCTCTCCGCCAAGTACGCGAGGAAAATGCGCCTCGTCACCTCGAGCAAGGAACTCGAGCAAGCTCACCGCGACGGCGTTATCGCTAGTCTCGTTGGCATCGAAGGCGGACACAGCATCGGCGCTAGCATGGCTGTACTGCGTAGCTTTCATCATCTGGGCGCCAGATACATGACTCTCACTCACAAATGTAATACCCCATGGTGAGTTCTTTTATTCTCTTCAATAATGATTAGTCGACAATATGGAATAACAACGATCGATGAAGAAATATTCGCTAATTACCATCGAGCCGTCACTATAATTAACATTCCATCTCGTTATTGTTAATGTAAGAGCAATTAAATCAGCACACGCATCGATAACGATCACAATGCTAAAATCACAAGTAGTTTCAGATGGATTATATCACACGATAATAGTATAATGTTATTCCATTCGAAATTTTCGAAAATTAACCGACAATATCCATTTGCGAGAGGAATTAATCGCAGCTGCACGGGTGTTCGCGCTGGCAGTGTGTTAAATTTGAATGGTCGTTGCCGGCTCGCCGTGTGCATGCATAAAATTCGCATTATGAAAAAAAAAACGCGTGACCCAGTGAGAGGATGAACTACCGGATGGCCAAGTTAGTGCGAACTCATTTTTCATCTAGCTTTTATGCTCGCGCGCGCTTTCCCTCTCTCCGCCTCCTCCCGTCGTACGTTTTTCCCACGGCTTTGACACGTTTTAATCGCCCCATCTTATAACTAATACCGACGGACAAAAGAGACGACACTTCAGCCGTCTTATATACTCCGCGCTTAAAGTGCGATTGGGCGAGGGAGAGATAGCAGCGAGGATTTGAATAAATGCAAATATCGCATTGTTATCTCCGCCCTTGCCGCGAAAACTGCGGATCGGTGAAAAGATTACCCTTTCTCGCGCTGAATTCAATTAACTCCCGGAAAGTGAGCAGTTTAATGGCTTGTCCGGCACAAAAATTCCCCGTCATCGTCCGACTCGTTCTCTCTCGTCCTTCTCTTTCGATTTTCGATCTCCTCGACACTCTTTACGGACTTTCTCCTTTTTTTACATAATCCGACGGGAATTACCGGCTTGTAAAATTGATAATAATTGAAAACTTCAAGTGTAAATCGGCGATGAAGTGAGAGATATAACCAATAATCGATTAATTGTTGAAAGCCGTAGAGAGTACCGTATTTCACCACATTACGCGACGATTTACGACGGCATTAATTTCCAGGTTATACGAAAATATTCGTCGTAAATCATCTGATTAATTGTCAGTTTATACGTGAATTATTGAACCATAAAAGCCACGTAGTTGTCAAATATTGCCGGCACTGCATTAATGTTGCGCGTCACGGTTTCATAAAAAAAAAGGCGAGTGTAACGAAATGAGAATCTGCCTTTTCAAGTAATACCAAAGGCATTAAATCGAGCTATCTTTAAAATTCTTATGGCACGTTGCGCCTTTGAAAAGAAATTTACACTTTTTTGCAGTCGCTCCGATGAAAATTTCCGGGCGTCAGTTCCGTGCACCCGATGAACATTCATGAAAAATATTATCTGAATTCCGCGTTAAAAGTTGATCCTGTAATTTCGAAAACGAATCGCAATCCTGCGGCTTCCCCAACAGCAAACGATTCATTGATTAATCAAGATGCAATCAACCGAGTTGGAGCGCTTGGTATTGGAATACATACATACACACACGCACACGCACCCACACACACAGATATATATATATATATATATATATATATATATATATATATATATATATATATATCCTTGAGCTCCGCAAGCGTGAAGTATTAGATTAATAATAATCAAAGCCATATCAAAGTTCTCACAGCCGCGCGCGAATTTACTATTCAATTTCAGGAGACGCATGGCGAAAGGTAAAACGCCAATTTCACCAACGAGCGTCGTGAGCATATGCATATTGCGCGACCGCGTTGGTAATCAAAATTTCTCTGCCTCGCGCTCAAACTCCCCTCTGTACGCGGAAAACAAGTGCTAATCGAGTATACTGTGTTGGCAATTGGTATAGAAGTTGGAGATAGTCTCGTATTTATTTGATTGCGACGTGGCTCTCTCTCGTAGAACGAGATGTCGAAAACGAATTATTTTATCTGGATGAATTGCGCGGGGTGCATTGAAATTATACAACAAATGTATAAACGATAATTTCTTAAACGCAAGTCGCATTCACTAAGAAGCTTTCGAAATACTCTAGGGAGCCATTGTTAGAAATATCTCTGAAAAAAACAAAGAGTACGGGCATTGCAAGCGGATTACTTCAATTATTCATAACAAGAGGAACTTGAGCCGACGACTTTTTCAATCAATCGCCAATACTCGGCGCTACGAATGAAATCGAGGAGGCAAAATAAAAACTACAAAGTTCATACGAGTCATGCAGCAAACTACTCCTTGACAGGAAGTTATCTGCGGCTCCACCCGTGAAATGGCCCTCGAAGCGAATCTCGCGAGGGCACTTGCGTTTACACGAGGCAAATAGGCAAACAGAAACGGAGGTGAAACGTTTAAATTAGTCCATCTCTTTTGCCTTGAGCGATGCGCCGGAGTGTGCTCTAAAATAAAATCTCCGGCGAAACGGAAAAAAACGAAGGAGAGAAAGACGGAAACAAAATGAAAGAAAAATGACTGGCGTACAGTGGAAAAAATACCGTTATCGATCTGCGCGACCTACTTTTTATAAATTAAAGCGACAGCTTCGACTCGTACGCGCTTTGTATCGGCAGGAAGTGGGCGAGAAAAGTTGTCAGAGCGCTCGCGCAGCTTCATTGTCTATAATTTGGCGAGCGTAACTTTTTTTTGGAAACGCCGCGCAACTAAATGCACGATGCCGTTTTGTTTCTCGTCGCGTCGATTGTTCTTTCAATATCGAAGTCGCGACGTTGGCGAACTTTGCTTTTACCAGCGGCCGAGTAAAGACTCGCAGGCAAGAGTGGACACTCGTCGTGGAGCTAATTGACGAGAGCGAAGGAGGGATGTTGTTTCATTTGATAAAAGGCTCAACGTTGCGTTTTGGCCGCAGGGCGGACGCAGCAATAGCCGACGACCCCGACAAGGATTTGGTGACGCTGGGCTTCTACAGCGACGGACTGACGAATTTCGGCAAGGCAGTTGTGCGCGAGTTGAATCGGCTGGGCATGCTGGTCGACTTGTCGCACGTGTCGGTGCACACGATGCGCGACGCACTCGCCGTGTCGACGGCGCCAGTTGTGTTCTCGCACAGCGCCGCTCGGGCACTCTGCAACTCTTCCAGCAACGTGCCCGACGACGTACTTCGCAATCTCGTGAGTATTTTCTGCTTTTTGACGGGCGTCTCAACGGTGAGCCGCGGCTGTGCGCGGAAAAGCACTCGGCAGCGCGAAGCCCCTCCCGAATACTGCGGGGGAGCACTTTGTGAAATTCGTTCAAGTGGCAAATTAGAGTCTGCGCGCTCAACTACTTCGCGGAATCTCTCCGCCCTGAAATTCAATTAAATGCGCTTTCTCGCGAAAAACGCGAGGGAAAGGACGGCCGCGATACTTGGCACGCGATTTATGCCGTTGTCGCACGCGCAAACGCACATGCGTGTGCACGGGAGATTAAGCACGTGACGCTGTGGATTTTCACCCGCGGCGAGGAATACGGGGAGCGCTGGCCTCGCCTCTTATATTGCAGTATTCCAGCGGAGCACCGCACGCCGGGGCTTTATAAGATGCGGCGTTGGCCAGCGGCTGGAAATATGTCTACTCACTGAGCGAATTGCCCGAATTCCACGCCAGCCGCCCGGTAAAATGCAGTGTGTATGTGCACAGGATTCCTGTTGACAATTCGGTTTCGTCAAGTTTAATCAAATTTCTTTCCGGCCTCCTCTCTTTCTCCTCTCTCACTCCTCTCTCACTCCTCTCTCACTCCTCTCTTATTTCTCTCTGTTCAATTGCAATTCGCTCGCACTCGACCGTCAGCGCGAGCGTGCGCAAAAACAAACGCGCGGTATAATGGCGCACGATAGTCGTCTGCAGCGCCGCGCCCACCGAAGTAGTACTCGAGCCACGAAAGTACTCCATCTATCACCGCGCGGCGCGATGCTCGAAGCAAACACGGCTTTAACTCAATTCCCTCTTTTCCTCGGCGCGGCTTGCTGTGCACGTGCGCGACACAGTGGCAGCGGAATCGGCGTCGTCCCCGGCGTGCATTTTCGCTCGCTCTATTTATCTAAGGGCGAGCACGCCGCGCGCATTGTTCCCTCCACCTCCGGCGCTTGGCTCGCCGAGATTGCGGCTGCGACGCTTTTTTCCGCGCTGCTCCTTGCCGCCGAGGCACTTTCTTATTGACCATTGGACTTGCGCGGCCTGTCGACACGCGATATTCTGCAAGTCTCACGCGCCAAATGAAAGAATGTCCGAACGGTCAATTAACATTCCATTTGTCGTGATTTCATCGACTATCCCTTCCTGGGAAACGTCGCCACGGTTATTTGAAATGAAGCTTCGAAGGCAATTGCATTCGGCCCAGTTTTTCATGACAATTTCAACGAAGAAAGTTAACGCAAGCGAGCACGAAATATGCAGCGGTGGCAGCGGCAGCGCGCGCACCTCCGAATCAACGTCTCTCGCAGCTTATAATGTAATATTAATAAACTTGGCGTAGGGCGCGGTGTAAGCTTGAAACTAGCTGGTGCTCGAGGGCGCCGCCGCCACATCATCGCAACAGCTGCGGGGTCAGAGCTCCCCTGCACTCTCCTCACGGCCTTAATCTGCTTTAAACTTCATCTTGAAATATTCAGCGCTTGCTGTTGATTTTTACATGCGCGCCCTGCCCAAATCCTCAAACGGCATGTCCAAACAGAAAACCCCTCGCTCGAGACGCAGCTTGCCCCTCTTCTTTTTCAGCTGTTCAGACCGAATAATCAAACTAACGAGGGCAGAAGTTGAGCGTGTCTTTTCCCGGAAGGACCCGAAGGAGAGAAAGCACAAAGAGAAAAAGCAGGCACACGCGCGTGCCCGCGACAGAGAGAGAGAGAGAACTACGCATTTGAGCGACTTTCCAACTACGCTCCTAATCTCATTTCGCTGGGACGTACATATATAAATTTGATCCTCCTGCCACCCCTCAGCCTCAAGTTGCTCTGCAGCGCGCGGATTTTAATTTCAAATCTCCAGACCGTCACACGTTCGCTCAGACGTGTAAATCGTCGGAGCGCGCGGATGTTCGAAAGAGATATAACCTGTGTGTCGCGCGCGACTTTTTTTTTTTTTTTTTTTTTTTCAAGAGGCGCCACCAACGACCAACGCCGCGGAAATGGGGGGCAATGAATTTAACTGCCGCGCGCGTGTCAAGTTTTTGACGAAGGATGCGTATTTAAAAAAAGGAAAAAGAAAAACGTCTGGAAAGTTTGCCGATGCTCAAAGTGGCATTAACTAGAACTTCCGTAATTTCAGCCGGGATACCGGGAATGAAAAAAAATATATCTCTCGCGTTGAAATTGACAATGTCGCTGCGTAACATAAATTGATAATAAAACAGGAAAAAGTTGTGGGTAAATGAAATGAAAAATTTGTAATGGCGAAAAGCCAAAATTGCACCCTTGAAATTTCACTCACGAGCTCTCCACGCGCAAAGTACTACTCCGATTATAACGATAATAACGGGATAAATGAAACGCGAAAGCTATTCGCGATGCGCGAGGGCATTGGCAGTCGAGATTTTTATGCGCGAAGTAAAACTCAGCTCCCGCATATGTACGCATAATTATACGCGAGGATTGCAGTCGAACGGTCCGATAGAATGGATTTTCAAAGTGATATTTTCAACAAGTACCGCGCAGAAAAATGGTCTGCAGTAGTTAACTGTAAATTAATGTGCGTTTTATTGGTTTGCTTACCCACGCTCGCGCCTGCAAATATACTAGCGAATAATGCGCTTTAATTTAAATGCAGACTTTTATAACGAACAACGGATTCCAAGCTCGTTTACGGTAGGCGAAGGAGATTAGCGATTTATGAAGCATATTTCTTCGTACACGCGACGCGTAAAACTTTAAAACACATACACATAAACTTGTTATAACCCTGGCATTTTCCAAACAATGAATTCTCGAAGACGACGGTGGTAGATCTATTGTGTGTTGTGTGCGTTTGCGTGCCAGAGACGCTTCCGAGAGAGTTTGCTCAAAGCTGTATCAGATCGAAACTTATTCTTACCAAGATTAAGGTGTCAAGTTAAATTGCGTTATTAATCATACGCGTTGCGGGACTATAACGCGCAGGAGCTGTTTTAATAGCTATTTGAATGATTCAGTCCTCGTATCAGCGTCGGCGCGCGCGGGATAATCGTTTTGTATTAATATCATCGCTTCGAATTAACATTTTTTGCTAGCCAGTTTGGGGATTACGATGCCCGATAGTATGCATATTTCACTACTTGCATCTGCTCGGTACCTCGGGCTCGTAATTTTTTTCTTTTTTTCTTTTGCGCGCACTATCCCGATGTCAAGTTACTTTTAGCGGCCTGAAAAGTTAGACCGACATACGTACGTCGCACGTTCGTGCGAAAAATAGACACTGTAAAGTTCAGGGGGCAGTGAGCCTTTCCTTCTTACTTTTTGTTTTGGTAAACGAAAAACATTATGAATATTCCGGGACGAGGGAAGACAAACGGCCGCAAAGGAGGAATGAAAGCCTGCACTTACTTGCAATTTCCGACTGTCCTCGAGGCGCCAAAGGCGAGGGAAGGGAGCGCGATTTTCCGCAGAGACAAAAGAAGGCGGGGAAAAAAAGGGAAGATCAGAATCGCCGACAAAAACAAGGTGCGCGTGTCGCGGCACGAAAAAGATGGCGATGGTGACGCGAGAGCTTAATCACTGGGGTCTGATCTTATCCTTTTCAGACGCTGAACGGTGGCTTGGTGATGGTGAGCTTCGACAGCGCTCACCTCAGCTGCGGAGATAAGGCGTCAATGCACGACGTCATCGGTGAGTCTTTTATTTCTCACAAGACATATACACTCCTCTTCCGCTTCTTTGGCCCTCTCGTCAAAGCTCTATATACTCACTTGATATATATCTTACGAGATCGGATAACAGCGACGTTCTCTACTCTTTGCTCGCTCTCTCGACTTTTTAGCTCACATCAACCACATAAAGACGGTTGCTGGCGTCGACCATGTTGGGCTTGGAGCCGGATACGACGGAATATCGAGGTGAGACTCTATACATACCTTCCTATTATTTCATCGGATTCGGACCATGTTTTTTTTTTTATTTTTCTTCTTCTACAAAATTAAAAGCTTGCACAAATTAGATTCACAAGGCCTAATGACAATGAGAAAACCCGTTAGCACGAATCCAATTAAATAGCACTGTCAACGATCCAACATTGACACAAGATCGGCAACAGGGCGGGAAACGAACAGAGGGCCGAGAAAGGAAAGGAGATTTCATCCCGCGGGTAAACGCTCCGCACACAACCTTAAATTTTAAAGACTTATCCTGGCGGCTTCTTGCCCATTGCTACCGTCGGTCTTTGCGCCGCGGAGGGAGCTCCTTTTATTCCCCGCGCCGTCTTAGTTTCTCTCAATGTCGTGCCCACAGGTCCGGATCACGGATTTTATGATGAATTTTCGGACCAGTTCAGCCGTACTCTAGTACTGCAATTCTTTATATTTTACGAGCGCCAGACGTTTATTAGCGCCTTGCGAACCGACTAAGATTCATTTCCTAAGATACGTGTTTTCATTTCCTCAAGTTCACCTTACTTTTCCTTCTTTTCTTTTTTACTTCTCTTGTCGGACGACAGTCGAAACGTCGCATCGCTAGATTATTGAGGCGAATAAACATAACTGTTTTACGAGGACGAAGCTGTATAAAGTATTTTCTTATTAAATTTTTTATTGGCAAGAGTGACGACCTTTTACGAGATGTGGCAAAACATCGCAGACTCGAAAGTGGTACGATTTGCTGCATTTTCAAGCCATCCTTTTGCGACGCTCGTCGACCGAATCGTAGATAATATTCCACGTGTCGATCTAAGCATCGGTTGAAACACAAGTCTTGCAGTGTCACTCGAATCAACGAAGCTAATCGTAGATACAAGCAATCGGCCCAGAAAACAAAAAGGAAAAGTAAAGGAGCGCTCGTCGTGAAAGCAGTTCTGCGGTTGAAAAGCAGACCTCACGTTCGCAATTTATCACCAACTGTTTATAACAAGTGCCAGGACCATTCAGTCGGACGGAGGAGAAAAATTTTCTGCGCTCAAAGGGGTCAAGTCACCTCTTTCAAACGTCGCCCAATGGCGCGCAAAGAATTTTCGATAATAATTTTCTGTGGCCGCACACGCTACGGACAGTCAGAGAGAGAGAGAGAGAGAGAGAGAGAGAGAGAGAGAGAGAGAGAGAGTGAGAGAGAGAGAAAACGAGGATGAAAAATGCCTTGTTAAGAGGATGCTCGGGGGATGGCAATTATTCTCGAGTTTTTACCTCTCGAATGCTCGATATGCGAGTTATTTTGGCGTGGAACTTTTTATTGTCTGCGCTCCGAAAAGAGAAAGTTGTAAAGCTCTAAAATCATCGCTGTTATCTGCTTTGAGTTCACACTCAACTCTTCACGAACCGATTAGCTGCTCAGCATTCATTTTCTCGCTCGTTACTTGCGTCGGCTGTGAGGCCGTTCGCACTTCATTAGAAATTGATAATTTTCGTGGCACAGCGCATTACGCAAGCGTCAAATATGAAAAGAAAAGTTCGTTAACTTTTCTAGTTACCTCGTGGCTTTGGATGTGTCCTTTGTTACTGACATGCGAGGGCGCGATATAATTAGCCGTGGCATTGCACAAAGCTGCTTAATTTCGTATAGATTCGCTGCGAACTATACACGCAAACAAAAATGCCTTGCGCACTAATTATCTCACTCGTTTGCCACACAAACAGTAAGAAAATATTGTTCGCACGTTGAACAAAAAAAAAAATAACTAGAAAATAGTAGCAATGAGGTAATCTAATCAGGAGGAAAAAATTGAAATCCAATGCATCATTGTTCGAGTGCGTGGTTAATGCAGAAGAAGCGCGCAGAAGGATCGTCGAGTTGACATTAGGCAGACACGACGCGAGAGAAGGATCTCATGGAAATACTTGGAGTATACGCCGAGACGATAAAATATGTACTACAATGTATGCGAAATTTGACGTTGCATCCAGGGCTTGTGTTTTTGATTTTCCACGCCCGACGTTTGATATTCATGAAATTCATTCTGCGCACAGCAGTGTCTTCTTTTATACATCCTACCCGCGCAATGCAACAAATCAAGCGTACTCATTTCAATGATCGCGCCTTTCTTTTTTTCCTTTTATAGATAACATTGTAATTTCCATTGTTGGATCGCTCAGCTTCGCTTGCACGGTGTCCCGTCAGGAACGTCGATCGCGAAAACTCTGGCAAGCCGAAAACATTCACTCGCAGTAATGATCCGAGCTTTGCTTTTCCCGAAGCGTTCGTCGCGTCTACTTATAATTTTAAAGGAGAACGAGCGAAGCGCGGCGTCAATTTACAAGTCCTCGAGGAGAATAAATCTCCCTCTAGTAGTCCGAAGACGAATCGTCAGGGACATAAATAACCGATCGTATCTCTTGCTCTCCCGCGTGTATCGCCTCGGCGATATTCTCTAACGTAGCCGAGCGTTTCCATCCCCCCACCCCCGTTAACTTAGAAAGGAGCTTTCTCGCATTGTTTCTACGACTTTCTTTCCTCCTCGTATTGGACGAATCAATGCGCCGACGACGGGTTTCCTTATTTCGCTCGCCGACTGCTGCGGTTTCTCGAAAACAAAACTGAACTCGCTTGCGGGATGACGAATAGTTATGCAGTCTCGAGCAAAGCCTAGCACCGACCGTGCACACTTATACGCGGCTCGAGTAAGAAAGTTCATTTTTTTTCAATACCGTCTGCAGCATACACGACATAACCGAAATTACTCAAATTCATCTTGGAACGATTAATCAAGTCTCGCGCGAGCGAGCCCGTGCAACCATCGATCAAAAAGGAAAAAAAATGGCTTTTCTCCTCCTTGTTCGCAGTCCACCGACGGAGCTGCCAGACGTGTCGGGTTATCCATTGTTGCTGGCAGAGCTAACGCGAGACAGAAGATGGCCAACGTCGGACATCAAGAAACTGGTAGGTGGCAATCTATTGCGCGTGCTCAAGGAGGTCGAGAGTCATGCGTCCAGTCTCGCCAACCAGAGCCCCGCCGAGGAGTGGATACCGAGGGAACTCATAGAGGACACCGCCTACTGCAGGTATCTCGGGCCTTAGACTACTGCGGCCGTTCTCTGATTTACGGCGAGCTGCGCTAGTTTCCCCGCTCGATGTTTGCCGAAGCAGCCCGCGCCCGACTGACTTTCTTTCTCAGAGAAAAGTAAACGATTTCTACATATCCGCGTGCGCAATACATCGCGATGTCAAGACTGAAGCAGTGTCGCTAATCCAATTGCCAAAAAGAAACATTGTATTACGCCGAGGAAAAACGTCGTGACGACGAGTCCTGGGCTCGCATAAACAGCTTGTATCAGCAGTTCGACCAACTATCGCCAATTTAGTTCCCTGTCGGCTTAAAAAGCAGTTTGATTTATCGATGAACCACCACGAGTAATCGCGAGTCGTACGCAAGCATCACCAAGTAGAGCGGGAAAACTGGGGGGACGAGGCCGCGCATTCGCATGGCAAATGTCAGTGTTCTCTCGTCCTCCCCCTTCTTTTGACGAATTAGACAACGAGATACCTTACATTTGCCGAGGGAACTTGTCAAACAATTTGTAAATAAGAATATGGCAAATCGGCTCGATGCCGGTTTATCTCTGTAAAGAAAACAATTAATGATAATTGCGTTCGCAATTAAACAAAAATACGCACACGCGAGGATGCGTACTTTGCATTGTTACATTGTCGTTTCTGTTTGTTCGAGTAAATATATATATATATATATATATATATATATATATATATATATATATATATATATATAGGATATCACGTTAGAGTTTGCTAAATAAAACGAATAAAGTTGCGTGTAAATACTCGTGTAATATATGCGATTCAAGAAACAACAAGTCATACAGTGTAATAGTGGACAAATGCAATTCCCATGCGCTCGAGAGAGTAAAATAGGCTTGATAAGTATCTTCGAGACAGGTAACGAGTAGTGAATTTTTTCATTTTTTTTTCCATGCGTCGACTTGGTTATTCACAAAAGTCAAAACTGGAAGGTGCGCACAATAATAGCTTTTACGAGCGGAAAAATTAATAATTAAATCACGCCTTGTAAACGCGGAGTATAGAGGAACCGATTAGATTTTTCTGCTTTTTCGGGGGAGGGGGGGAGGCTTTTTTATATTACATACGACGTTTACAGAGTGATTAAGAAAAAAGCGTTTATAATGTACCACAACAACAACAACACATCAAGCTTCCTTTGTACTGCTGCTGGAGAAATAATTTGTATTTTCATGTAAATAAAAACAGCAGTGCTGTGAATTGACACTGTGTACTCATTATTTCAACTGTGATCGAGCTTCATTTGCAACTGGACTTTTACCTATAATATAATTTGTTTTAATTCTGTGCTCTATTCATACATAAAACATTACTTTGGAATGACATTTCTTTTATTTCATTGCAATATTTATTTCATGTCGCGAGCTGCAATTGAATGGGAAAATCCCCCGCATCTCCGATAATTGCGCTCATATATAACTTGTTATATTTTTCTTTTACGCGAGCAGCGCGGGACTGAAAGTTTCGCAAAGATAAAACAACAGCAGCGGAAGCAGCAGCAGCAGCGGCGGCAGCATCACACGAGAGGAGAGAGGGCAACAATTGAGCGTTGAAAAGTTCGGTGGAAACTGCAATAACCGCGCGAGTTTACTCTCTGCGCCGATTGCACAATAGTCAATCGGAGAAAAAGGAGAAGGCTGCTAAAATCCCATAAAGAAAGGACGTCGCTCTCTCTCTCTCTCTCTCTCTCTCTTCAAGAATCGTTTATCTTGAAGTTTGCGACCACAAAGAAAACTCATTTTTCCTCGTAGCAAGCACACATAGAGTCAGGACGACTCAGTCTTATCCGAAAACAGGAGGATGAGAGACTAAGATATCTGTGTATTCGGAGTCCCAGTGATGTATACGTCGTGGGAATAGGTTTTATCGTTGCTTGATGCTTGTGAGGGGGGAAAAAGGGTATTGAGCGTTCTTTGGCGACCGACGGAAAGTCAATTGCCGCAGCCAAATATGTTGCTCAAGTAACATATTGGTGTGGCCGTTACATGATTCGATTTAAATTACGTGTTGCTGTTTGATTTGTGCGAATCGTCCGTGACGCTCCAGCCAATAACCGTCATTGAAAAATCACTGTTGTTCACCGTATATGTACAAGTCGATAGCAAATGATCCATCATTTACATAGGTGTACTCTTACTATGAAGCGACCGTAATACTCGCACGAATGATTTAATGTCGCACTCGCGCGGCTCCCGTTAAATAATCAATCGCAAATTTAGCAAAGGGAATGTTTGATCTTCAATAATTTCGCGAGTGGGAAGTGCGTAATTAAATGTGGTGCGCGCGAAACGACGCGCGGCCTCACTAATTAAAACGGACGTAAAACACGCAGTCCAAGTGAAAAACGAGAATGGCCGCCGAGCTAATTGCCCTTGAGCTGTCGTAATTCGATACGGGCAATCATAATGCGAAGAGTCGCCGTCGAAATCGATTTGCGCTAATCGAGAAGAAAAGCAGTGGAGTGTTATTAGGTTGCACGTCTTCGCGCCGGCTCTCAAAAAGAAAAGGCGCTCACCGAGGTGTGTTGATTGAAGCTCTTCAAGCTTAAGAGTATCGACCGTATAGAGCAGTGGCAGTAAGGTAAATGCATCGAAGAAGGTAAATCGATTTTTTTCCTCTTCATATAAGCGCGCGCGCGCCCCTTTTACTTTTAAAGGCTAACTCAATAACCTTTGCGTATTAAATTCCTCGTGCGCGCCGTGGCGGCCTGAGTGGCTGCTTTTTGCTTCTTAAACTTGAATTTTTTACGAAAAATTCGATTACGCGGTAGTGTGTCTCTCTGGGCCACTTTTTTCTCTCTCTCGAAGTTTAGAATTATGGCTTCGAATTGCATTCTTTTCCTTCCGAATTTCAGAGATATCTCGTGCGAAGTTTGAATTTATACGTAGAAAAGTTTTAACGGAGTCACGTTTGAGTTGACGACTGCTTTTGCGAAACGCAAGTTGAGAAATCTAGCATATTCAAGTTTGTTTCGTTATACGGACTGCTCGACGCGTCGCGGTCTACTCTCTTTCTCTTAGACAAAGCCCTGTCGGAATAATAAATAAGGCAAACGTCCAAGTGACGCCGCACGAGTTTAGCCGCAAAAACTCCTCGCAGCTAACCCTCCTCAAGTAATTTCCAATTCCAACACTTTACAATACTTGGCCTCGTAAACACCTGACCCAGATGGAAACTCGCCGCGTATAGTGGCGAAACTTCAGCGGCCCATTGCAATTTCGCGCAAGTTGCTGCGTGAAACCTCCAAATTCGCCAAGCCACAAGTGAAATAAAAAAAAATAGAAAGAAGCTAAGATACGAAACAATGGGCTTTCGGCCGAAAAAAAGATAGAAGATCTACTGCTGTTGAGTCGAATTACCAGAGTAATTACTCAGGTCTCGAGCCGTGCGCGCGAAATATCACACATTGTTTTTTTCGCTCATTCTGGCCCACCCACCTCCCTTTTGTTTCAACTTCACCATTTCCTTTCAGTCTCTCTGCATTATTCTTCTTCTGATTCGACTTCGTTTTCCCTCCTTCTTTCCTCTTTTTGCGGCTTTCTGCGCATTCACTTCTCTCACAAGGCTTTGCTACCTTTTTACCTCTTGTATCTGAGGATCGTTATCTGCTCTAAAAAAAATCCTGTAAATCAAAGAATTACAGCAACCAAATTTTCACCGTCGTATTAACCTTATGATCTATCAGATAAAATAAAACTGGACTTTCGAGAGCAGGAGGAAAAAAATCAGCTCTCCCATTCGCAGCCTTCACGTCATAAAAACGCGGACCATAAAAGAAAATTGCTCTCATTCTGACATCTGACTGAGCTTTTTTATCCTCTTTCTCTCTCTCGCTAGTCAGCAAATTACTTTTCATCTCGATCCGCCAACGACGCGATCGCCACTTAATTGTGCTACCATAAGAAACTAAAATAATGTTTATTTCGCGCGTATATTTGTCGCAAAGAGAATAATAAATAAACTTGATTCCTCGTAAAATTCTCGCGTCGAGCGAGAATTAGACAAACAAAAATTAGCCGCGACACACGCATCAGCCGCAAATAGAGTCTCTCACGCTGTACCCCCAGTGGATTTAGCTCGCGGCAGCATTAGAATTCGTAGGAGCGGGTCACGAGAGACCGGTCGGATGAAAAATGTCTCGCGCGGGCGCAAATTGATCCCTAATCAAGCGGCGCATTATGAATTAGCCCGTCATGTCGCGCACGCGCATCTAATCTAATCACCACTTCACTCTGTGTCCGCAGCCTTGTAACTAACTAACAACGTTGCGCGATCAGTATACCGGACAGAGTATATACGCGCGCGCGCGCACAATGCGTTTGAATAATTCATGTGGCGGGACAGAAGGGTGAGGGAGTGGGGGGCAGGAACCTCTCCCGTATGATGCGCGACGGACAAGCTCGCACGCGGGGTTTATTGGTGCCTACCTTCCTTCCGAATTTTCCTACAGTTTACCACGGGTCAGTTCCGCCCGAGTACCTGCGCCATCGTTTGCCCGCGACGCCCGTGTTTGCGAGCGGATCGGATTTCTTTTTTTTTTCTTTTCGCACCAGGAAAGCGAGGCGGGCGATGAAAAAACGTATGACGCCGAAACGCCTTCTCGTTTACACGACCGACGGCTTTGCCGCCTCGCACTTCCGCGCAAAGGCAAACTCGCTGGGCACGCAGGGACGTCGCGTCGACTGACCGCTGCCGGACGCTGCTCGGTTTTTTTCCTCTACACCCCCGCGCACACTCGGACATCTCGTGGGAGCGCTACAACCATTCTCGCGCATCGCACCAAGCAAAACACAACGGGGCTACTTTCAACTTGCGACCGCTGTGTGTTCTTTATTTTACTTCTATTTATCCGAGGGGGCTTACCACGCACGCGGGATTAGTTCGTTTATTGTTTCAATTAAGAGAGTTAGTTTACGAATTTACGAGGTTCTCTCTGTTATGAGTATCTGGACAACTTTTCAGGCGATCTATCGTGGGATTTTGGAACATTGGCCAGTATTAAAGAATTACTTGAGAAGGGTTTCAAGAAAGTTCTCTGGTTAAGCGCAACATCCTTTTTTTAGTAGTCTGTTGAAGAAATAATACCTGTGCCCATTCGTTGCTCTTGCAAGGCGCCTTCTATTCTTTACTCACTTATGGTTGGAGTCCTCATAATTTGACCAGTGCTAGGTGAAAAACTTTTTGACTCGCGATTTAAATTTATAAAATACATTTCTACGAATTTAGAATGGACGTACCTCTGGTTATTTTAGTCGATTGGTCTGCAGATCAATTTTTGATGTACGAAATTATCATTAGAAAATGAAATTCTCTACGATAGTTATCATGAAAAAATTGCTCGGAAGTTGTAAGTAGTAATGAGCGTAAGATACAAACGTTCAGCGCTCACGAGCGATCAAGCTTGCATTCGGACGTTTTCGTTATATATCAATCAGAGGATATTGCGGTCGAGCAAATCCCGTGATGATTTATGGCCCTTGCACGCGATGCTAGCGTTTCGAATCCGATCGAGATGTAGGCGAGGAAATCGTAAACCAAACCAGCCAAAAAATGCCTTCCACGCGAGTTGCATTCATTGTCAGTCAACCATTTCTCTTCCTCTCTGTGTTTATTCCTATTCAT